TGTGATAATAGAACCAATCAACAATGAATATAAGTTTGTAGAAATTCGGTGCTTATAAGCGCTTGGATATGTAATTACAAGTGCTTTTAAGTCGCTTAAAATGTGCGCTTTTCAGCGCCTGTAATGCTTAGAATTTCAGCGCTTGAAAGTGCTTCAACTTCCACAGTTAGGCGCTGAAAAGTGCTAAAGGATGCATATTTAAGCGATTTTAAGTCGCTTAAAATGTGCGCTTTTCAGCGCTGTTCAGCCTAAAATATAAGCTAATTTAAGCGCGCTTATTTGCTTAAATTTTCACATGGGTATCGCTTATTGTTAACTGATATTGATTGGTATTAATTAGTGTTAATTAGTACTACCTAGTATTAAATAGTATTAACTAGTCTGAATTAGGAATAATTAGCGGGAGCGAAGATGAGGGTGAATATGACTTCAGAAAAGTTACCCCCTATTAGGGGACGAAAATAGGGGATAAAATATGAATGCTATTATGAGTCAAATCTCGTCTAAACTCATTGAAATACACAGTGCATGAAGTGTCGTAGAGCTTGGAATTCTCCATCGTCTAGAAAACAATAGCAATACTTGAATCAATACATAGTTCGAAAAAACTGTATGGATATTTAGTGCAGCGTATCCTGGTGCATCTGCTGAAAGACCGAGCTGAAACTGAACATCAGAGGAATAAATATTTATTTGGATTGAAACAAGAACTTTGAATGACAATCTTGCAAAACGTCTCTTTTTATTTTGTTGATCATCGCTGTTGCTATCGGAGCTCCTAATGAATGAATGAAAGACAAAAACCTATTTCTTCTGCTTTACTTATATTTATGTATCTACTTACCTTCCAAATAAAAGCAGGCAGAGCAAATGCAGCACGATGTATATCACTTGTATAATATCGAGTATCAAGTTGATCCACTAATTTTGCATCAATAGGTTCTGTCAACTTTATATTCTATACGACAATCGTACAATATCTAAAAAGCGAACAACTTTTACTAGAACTCACTTTGTTGAGACTGCAGACAATAAAACCATGCGTGCCACATGGATAACTCGGCGTTGAACAGATGGCATAGGCTACCACCGGAAAAATTTCACGACAAAATTTAACCAAGTATTTTATTAGAGGAAGATCCAACCAAAAGCATTCACCTATCAAATCTAAAAAGTACTTGAACAAAATTCAAGGGAACTTCTACCTTGACAACATATGATACCGTTCGGTTGTTTGAGTGCTGCTTTCATCAATGAGTAATATGGCTTCCTAAATAACGCTTCAGCTGGGCCTAAATATGAGTGAATGCTGCTATGTATTGATGAACAAGTTCTGTAACTAAAAGCGACTACCTTCATCATCGGTCGAATCAGTAATGATGACATCGAATTCGTTCTGGTGCGTTTTGAGAAATTCGAAGCCATCGACAATATGAATCGTTGCCTTAGAACTCTCAAAACTTTTAGACATTTCAGGAAGATACTTTTTGCTCACATCGATCACATCCTACAAAAACTTCAACGTCATATCCCTGAAATAAAATCAATTTTCTCGAAACTACCTGATCGATTTCACAGAGAACAACTTCTTCAACTTGTGGATGTTTGATAACTTCGCGAAGAACACCACCATCGCCTCCACCGATAATTAGAACCTGCATCGAGAAATGAACATTCTAGAGCTATAATGTTGAAATCGTACAAACCCGTTTCGGACAGGGATGTGCAAGTAAAGGTAGAAAGGCTGCCATTTCTTGATAAACAAATTCATCACGCTCTGTGCATTGAATACAGTTATCTAGTACAAGCACATTGCCATAAGTTTTACTTAAAAGATGCATATATAAATATATTTAAACGGACTCTTGTAAGAGGAAGCTTTGCAGTTATTAATCTACCTTTTGAACACAAGAACATCTTGATATTTCGATCGTTTTTTATGTAGGATTTCATCAATTTCAAGGCTAAATTCTTGACCAGGGTAAAATCTATCATTTCTATCTCGAAACCAGTGGTTAGCATCATAATCAGCAACGGTCATTATGTTAAGAAAAGATACAAATTCCGTTTCCCGTCGGTCTTTTGACTAAATAGAAATGTTTCAATAAGAAAAAGCAGCTATTCTTTCGCCTGTCACCTACCTTCTCTATAAACGATTGTGAGTCTTGTTTATGTATCGCGCGGATTTTATAGCCAAACGTAAGCGCACCTGCGTTCTTTCGTAAGAAAAGACATAGAAAGTAAGAAGACAGTTTACGTTATTGCACAAACCGCGTGACTATTATATTATGATGTGACGCCGAAAATCATACGAACGCAATAAAGATAAATGCTTCTCTAATTTACTAATATTTGATAGTCATGACAAGCTTTTTTTCTTTATGTGAAAAGGCAAAACGGAAGAGATAGCAAGTGATTCTTCGTTGACACATGTTTAACGTTCTCCCCAAAACAAATCAGTCATCCATTGGCTTGTACAGTACACTCAGCACCAACAACATGAAAACGTTCTATTGACAGCGAACGGTTAATGGCAAGTATCGCCAAAGTTCGGCTGCTTTTATAACGTTCTCCAAGTTCTTCGCGTTTCTATTCTTGGCAAGTGTTGCAGAACATCAAACCTCTCTGTTGTCTTATTTATGAAGCGAAAAATATAAATAACCCAACAAGAGCCTTATTAAACATCGTAAATAATTTAAAAAAATACTCACTCAAGCACGTGGGTGAAGTTAGCACCATATTCGAGTAATTCCTACTCATATCGGTTCAGCAAGCGTTCCAAGTGATCTCATTTGTATTCCAAGTAGAATTCAACATTCTCTATCCAATGGTGAAGACTAATTGACGATAGCTTGAACCATTCATGCACAATTTTAAATATACTAATTATCCCCAATGGATCCTATGTAACCTGGAAAGTAATTCCTGTCCATATTGGTTCATGAAGCGTTTCAAGTGGTCGCATTTGTTTTCCGAGTAGGACGAAATATGCTCTATCGACCGATGAAATCGGATCAAGGATACGCAAAGTCGTTGCTAGAAAAATTCAAGAATACGTGTTTGTTCTAAGGCCATAGAGGTAGTATGGAGAATTCGGAGAGTCGATTCGACCCTGCGTTTTTTCAGTTCTCGAGGGCGCTATGAATAGCCAAAGCTGAGAACGGCTTAAGTTGAATTAACTGCTGCCGTCTGGCTCAGTCGAGAACTCCTCTTGCTGGTTCTGTCACAGCGAAGTGAAGCAAATTGCAAAGTACCAATAGTTTCGTCAGTTTCTGCTCTGGGATTCGCGAGAAGTCTTGAAATTGGTAACTCCAGGCACGTTTTTCACTTTTGATTCAACTATTTACACTAAAGTTCGTGATTAGAGTATTTTTGAAATTGTGCACGAATAGTTCAAGCTATCGACAATTGGATTTCACCATTGGATATAGAATGATGAGTTCTACTTGAAACATTACTGCGACCATTTTGAACGCTTCTTGAACGAATATGGGCAGGAATTACTGCCCAGGTTTCCTAGGGTTCAGGCGAAAAAATTAGTATTTTAGGAATTGTGCATGAATCGTTGAAACTGTTGATAATTGGATTTCGCTATTGCATAGAGAATGTTGAATTCTACTTGGGGCACAAATGGGACCATTTGGAACGCTTCCTGAGCGAACAGGGGCACGAATTACTAGAATATGGTGCTAACTTCACCTACGTCGATCAAACACAATAAATAAACTTCTACCTTGTGTGACTATTTTGGATGATGTTTTTCGGAAGTCAGCCGTGCTAATTAACAAACATATCTCATGGCTAATAATATTTGCAAGACTTAACGTGATTTCTGGACTGAAGAATTTATGGCTAGGGTAGATAATTGACGAGGTAGAGTTCTAGATTTGTTTTTGATGTATGTACGTTTGCATGAATTGTTTATTGCAAAAATTCCGTTGAAGTATTTTTTTTTGTATAATATGAATTTTGAAGTTTTGACGATTGTCAGTCTGAATCTGCTTTGAAATTTTTTATTTTTTTTCCGAGAAAAATTAGGTCTCCTCTATATGATACCTAAAAAATAATTCACTAATATTTTTCTAAGAGATAACTTTTGTTCATCTATCGTCGATATTTCTATTTCATTTTTGAAAGAGAACATAAATACGTTTCTTTTCAAAAAAAATTTGTTTTGTTTCATTGGGTGTCATCTATCATTCACATTCTTTACGTTTCAATGCCGTTGTCCGCAAGGGACGAATCTTTCTATGAATGAATACACTTACTGTATGTTCGAATTGCATAGCCATTCATGATGGCGCCAATAATCAAAACGAAGTTGAGCTAAAAATGTATCGACACTACAGTTGCATTGAATACCTGTCCATTAGATTCTCTTCGGTTTCGAAGTAATCATATTGGATAGTCAGTTCTTCTCCGGCATCGATGTCATGTCGAGCTTTCAATACCCAGACATTATTCAATTCGTCAAAATCTCAATTTCGTTCATATGAATGATTGAATAAGATGCATTCATAAACAATTTCTTGCGTTAGAATATAGCGTGAAATATTGAAGAGATCGTCATTCATCATAATGGTTTAGTTTTAAATGTAGCTGGATGCTTTTGGATAGATTTTCATGTGTTCAAGAAGTTGTTGTCGACTAAGTTCGAACCACGGATCATGGTTTTGATAATAACTACATGTTACAAGTTCATAGACGTAAATTTTCTCTCCTCAACAAACTGATTCATGTGTCACTAGATCATACTGTTGAACCCTGTATTATGTAGAAAAGTAGTGTAGTACTATCTTCTAAAACAGCGGTATCGAGCAAAAGAAATGTATAGACAATGTAAAACCACGCTGTTTAATGACGATACTGAAGCAACAGAAAGAAACGGTTGATTACTCCTTATTGTGATTGACGCCTTCAGATATACATTGAAATGCTGCCATTAATCACAAGGTGAATGATACATGGCTTGAGTCATTTTATCTGTATCAGCTCGTAAACATAATTACGAAATAATATTGCGCATTAAAAAATTTTCAAACTCTTCTTGATGAATGTAGGTGAAACTATCACCAGATTCGTGTACTTCCAGCCCTGATTCTCCAACAACTTGTTCCAAATCTCCTATTCTTGTTCCAAGTTGAACTCGACCAGTTCTATCCAACCGGATACTCAGATTTGCCACAACCGAAAGTATGATTTTTGGGATCATAGACCCACTGTACGAAGCTTGAAAATTATACTTCGGGCTATGGAAAATATGAGCATACCATTTGGTAGAGCTCGTCGAGTAGTACTGAAAACAAGAATGGGAGAGTTGGAACAAGTTCCTGAACAAATCAGGGCTGGAAATACATTTCAGGATTCCTCCATCCCATCGAGGAAAAATTGAAAATCGATTTATTTTTAGGCGACTGGTTTTAGTTATGGAGAAGCTGATTACACCAATGGATAGAGCTCGTTGAGGTCTACTTGGCACAAGAATAGGAGATTTGGAACAAGTTCCTGAGAGAATCCGGGTTGGAAATACTTTGTAGGATCTTTGTATCTCATACAGAAAAAACTGGAAAATCGATTTTGTAAGCGACTGGTTTGGGTGGTCTCACACCCACACCCACACCTACACCCCATCCATCCACACCCACGCCCCACGCTCACTTACACCCATACCCACAGCGAACTGCATCGAAATGTCTTTCGTGTACTTTGATAGATATCCTATTGTAAATTGTCTGCTCTGTCCCAGAACTTTTGTCCACCACTATGCGTTTTAAAAAAGGCTTCTGTTTTTCTTTGTACAAATTCATTTTTCTGCACTCTCAAAAGAAATGTCTACAGTTTTTGAAATACGATTCGATTAAAAAAAGAGTACTTCTTAATAAAGTTATATACTCTTTAATGTCGTGTCAAGACTTTTGACGGGAGTTAGCAGTGTGCGTGGGTTTGTCTTTTTACGAGCATTCATCGTCATAAATAATTCTACAATAAAAAATTCGAATATTTTTACTGTATTTGAATTAAATAATATAATATTTTTTCCGTGGCAGAGCTGAGTTTCACATTTACATTTGTAAAAAAAAGGAAATTCATCATCATCTTGATCTGCTTGTTTGCGAATAGAAATTATATGACAACATTACATTGTCATCTGATAACGTTTGAGTCATAGCATACACCATGTTTTTTCGTTCACAGTTTTTATTTAAATATTTCTACGCCGGTCATCATGCATGCTTTCAATTCGAATGAGAATATTAGTTGCGCTCTATGATATTGAAAATCTGCACTTGCAGACCGCTGATAAAATGAATTACGGGTATTTAACTTAAGCCATACTTAAGTAATATATCAGGTTACAGTTCTAATGATAACATGCTATCTGTCATGATGATGATGAGAAAATGTATTTTTATTTGCAAGGCCATTTCGTTTCTTCTTATTTTCTTGATAGAATATATAAAGCACTTGTTTTTCGTGGCATGACTGTGTATGAAATACGAAAATGTTCGAAATGAGAAAAGCCATCTACTTGTTGTTGGTGACTTTATTCATTAATCAGTGCTCAAGTCAAATCGGTTTTCCAAAACAATTTCAAGCAACATTGAGTATAACTGGATTACAGTCGTGGCCAATACCAACTCTAGGCTTTCAACACTTATTGGATGATTAAACAAATTCAAGAGTTCGTTTTGACATTAAAGGCTTGCGATTGAAACAAAATGAAACTTATATGGTTAAATACAAACCTGAAGGTGCTGAAGCAGATACAATAAGTAGAAAGAAGTGTCTCTCCTTATGGATAAAATAAGTGAATTTGCTTTTTGTAGCCGGCTTCGCGGGGTTATACAATGTTCAACTTCAATCCCGATTATCTAGAACGAACAAAGGTGTACAGGCATCAGTTTTTATTTGTTTTCTCTTTAAATAATTATATTGTTTTTCTTTGAAGAACAATTGTTGGTACAGAACAAATCCAATGAAAGACGTAGGCCCGTTCCCGATTACATAGTTTGCTGATGATTTAAGTCTCCGTGAAATTCA